TATATATATATATATATATATATATAAGTTTTTATAACCCATTGAAAACAATTATAATCACAAAAAGAAAAAGTTATATTTCTAATGATAACACACATGCATTATATTAATTCTTTTTCCTGTAGTTTTTCTATACATAATATATAAAATTTAAATTATTATTCATATAATTATTGTTATTTAGGCTGATTCATTACCTCCTCTTTACTAGCTTCATCAAAATTTTCCACTAAATCTGGCACTTCATCATCCTCTTCCAATGTTGATTTACCAACTGTACTTCCAGAAACTGTACTTGCTAGTCGTTTCAACTGTGTAACACCTTCAGGACCCAATTGACTTATTATTCCCGGTAACATATCAGTAATTTGTTTATTTTCGCCATGACCAGTAATGGCAAATGTGTTAGCAGATAAACTAGCTTGAGCTTTTGGATTATTAAAATGAATAACAGTACCATCATCTTTAATCATATTAACTTCTTCTATACCAGGAATTGTATTCACAGATAATTTTTTTAAACAACTTTGTAATTTTTTATCATCTGTAGCAGCAGTAGCATGTACAACCTAAAAATATATTAAATAAAACTAATTATTAATTAATAATATTACAAATAAATATATTGTTCATCTAAAAAAATTTCATTGAATAAGAAAAAAATAAAATAAATAAAATAATTTAAATAAAATCTACTTCTATTTAATTTTTATATATTATAATATTAATAAACTTAAATAATTTAAGTTTAATATAGTTTAAGTTAGATATAAAAATTTTAATATAAGAAGTTAATTCTTAAGTTTGATAAGAAAAATATTTGATGTAAAATCAAATTCTAACTTATATTTAATATATAAAAAAGCAACATAATTAAATATTGTTTGACATATTAAAAATAAAAGACAAAACCCACAAAAACAGCAATATAATAATAAACACATGAAAATAATTTATTCGAACAATTGAAATATGTGTTACACAGATTATAAAACTTTGATATTGTAAAATAGTAATTAGTGGTCGTGAATCAAGCAACACTTTTCAAAAGTAGATAAATCATAAATTTGTTCAAATGACACTTGAATATATACACATTCATAAACTTTCAAACTCACGACACACCAACAGTCTTGAAAATTGTAAACTTATATTAATTTTTGAAATAAACCTATATACCTTCTTCTTGCGTCGGGGTGTTCCCTTACCGCCGATTCGTACTTGAGCTTGAAGCTTCTTCAATTTTTCGGGATTCATATTAACCTATCTATATAATGATCAGAATTTTTCAACCCTTAATCACCAAACTTGCACAGGCAGCAAATGTAATGCAAAGTTTTGTACGATAAAATGAGTTGAACGCAACCGGCGAGCAAACACGTGCTCTCTATTCGCCGAAAGGGTCGAGAAAATGGAAGTGTACGCTTCTTTAGCTCTCTACGTCAGAGATAGCTTCCGGCAGGGCAATGCTTCCGTTTGAAACTTAACTCAAAACACTGCACCAATCAATTGTGAATAATATTGTTCATACATAAAATAGATACAAGTTGATTCTATAAATCGTAATTTCTTACAAAACATTTTGTTAAATCAAAGATTCATTTTACCTACAAATTACTATTTTATACAATAGTTCATCTGAACATGGAGGTTATGGAGACCATCATGTTACAACATACGACTTTGAAAAAAAAAAATTAATAAATATTTTTATAATTTGAAAATGTTATATTATGAAATCTAAAAAATATCTTTATCAACTTCATTAACAAGAATAAATTCTTTAATAAGTATAATAATAAAAAATTGTTCGAGTTATTTGAAAATTAAATTAAATTTGCTGTAAAGTAGGGCGCGAATATGAAATTTAAAATTAAAAATAATAATTATATTTGAAATAATAATTACATATATTTTTAAATTAATTGAAAATTAATTTCTGTTTTGTAAATAAGATTAATATCTGTTTTGTAAATATTGTAAATAAGATTAGAATTCATAATAAATTAATTATTTATATATATTTCTTTATATATAATTAATTGAAATTTTATTTATTATTAAAATATTTTTAAATTATAAAATTTCTGATAATTATTCAAAAAAAAGAGATGTTTATATACATACATTTCAAAATAATACATTTCAAAATAATACATTACAAAAGATTCAAAATAATATAATAATATATGTAATTATGATAATTAAGCTTTTTGTTTTGTAATCATATAAATTAAACTGCATTATATAAATACTTCAAAAAACATTATAAATTTTAAAAGAATATTAATAAAAAAATTACAATTAAAATATTGTACATTTTATATAATTTATTTTAAGATACAGAAAACAAAATTTTATTAAATAATGTAAATATATTTTAGTTCTTATAATAGCATTCAATTTAAAGTATTATATATTTACAATATATTACATTGTTATAAATTAATAATTTAGCACATCTGTTAACAATATTATTTTAATACAATTTGTTATATATTCAGTTATAATAAATTAATTAACAAATATATAGTATCATTAATTTATTGAACAGAAAATACTAATATTGCCAGATGTTATATATTATTTTTCATAAAAATATAAATTATTTATTTCAAAAATCTTTATTTTTTTTTTAATTTTCACCTTTATAAAAGGATGCAATATATATATTTATATGTATGTATATATTTATATGTATGTATACACACATAAAATTGGATCAGTCTTCAATTCTTTAAAATAAATTTAGATAATATATCAGAACGAAATACTTCTTTTAATTTAAATATTATAATCCACTTTATATAAAATTTATTTATATTTTCATTAACTTGTTAATAAGTTAATAAGAATTTCATATATACAATTAGTCTTCATTCACTCTACACAAATTCAATTAAATTTGTGTTATCAAAATCAACAATAATTTTGTTTTATATGAAATATTGTAAATATAATATGAAACTATTTTTTTATCATGGAATATCATTTCAAAGCAATGAAATCAATTTTT